ATTAAGGATCGTTTCATGAGAAACCCTCGAAATCCTTCTTCAGATATTATTTTTCAATTTTTTAATGGACGACCCTAATACGCTTTCCAGGACAATTATGTATCTTAAACGACCTGTTCGACAAGCCCTTAACGATCTAACGATATGTATCAGAAGAGTGACAACCCTGAAACTTCATATTTTTTTTTTTTCTCTTTTTCTATCTGTGTTTCGTCTGCGAATTCAGCGGCATATATTCGAAACGTGAAGCATCGCGAGCGTGGATTCGGAGCGCAAAGACATTCGGTTAATTTTCAACCAGTTTCTTAACCGATTATGGTTCCGTTGGGCGGTCTCGTTGTTCGACAAGCTGCGTTTACCGTTTCCAAGCGTGTCGAGAAAAGGGACACTTGGTCTCGCTCTGAATTTCGTGACGGTCCAGTTCCCCGGAAACGGAGAGGAGCGAAAAGCATGTTCTTTCAGACAGCTGGATTTTCGCTTCACGCTAGGAAGATGGTTTCGTTCCGCCTACACTTCTAAGTGACACCGATCTTCTCTAGAGAACAAAGAGAATAAAATACTCCAGCTGCGATGAAACTTTCTAATCATCATTTAATTAGACTATTTCTTTAATTGGTAAGAAGCATCACAACGATTTGATTAACTAGGACATACAAAGTATACGAAGAAACGTATCTAATTCTAAGGCATGGGAAAAATGCCTTCAAGCTACTATTTCAACTCGACATACCGATTTGCCAAATGTTCTTACGAACAAATTGTAAATCATTCTCGAGGAAATTAAAAAAAAAAAAATTTTCTTTAATTTACTCTGCGAAATGAATTTCTTCAATTATAATTCTTCTCCTATAAAAAGAAGTAACACGAATGATTTATGATTAATTTTGAAATTAAATAAATATGAAACAGAGTTCTGGATCCGATCTTGTTAAACAACCCAGTGTTTCGGAAAGGAAAACCGAGGAATCAGTTCGTCGAACAACGAGACGAGACGATTTCATGCTCCATTGCACGAGTTTTATATCGCGACGGGGTCGAAATAGTCCAAGTGCCGGTTCGAAATTCGATTCTCCCTATTTTCCGCGTACACTCGGTGGAAATAGAAAAATAAAGGAGCGTGCTCGTTGCTCGAGTGCAATTACACGACGGCCGCTGCATGTCGCCGACGAGTGCACGTCTTTTGTAACGACGCGAAATTAGCCGTCCGCGTCGGTGAGTTACGACGATGGATTTAATTTCGACTACCCGCGTATACGCGGTTCACTTAACACCCTACCACTATTACCCTTAATCATTTAATCACCACTCGCCACTATTAATTGCGGACGCGTCCTAATAAATGCCCAGTGGTTGTTCGACGAGGATAGCACGAGGATTGGCTTTTTGAACTCTGAGAAGAAGCTGCCGATCGACCGAAGCCGATACGTAGAAATTTACCAGACGTATCTACGAGAAAAATATGCGATTTTTTCTGAGAGAGTACTTATACGAAAAAACAGTTTCGATCACCGTTGAAGAATTCATTTTTTTTTTCTTTTTTACGTTTTCCTTTTTCTTTTCTCTTCCTTTTAGTTACAACGAAAAACCTTTCGTTCCGTGAGAAGTTCGAAGATTCTTTATAGTATCGTAGAGTAAGAATGGACATTTGGGCAAGTTTTCAATCTGACGCATTGTGATCTAAATAACTAAGAGCAGTAACATGCCATTTGAATCGAAAACCTTAGTTCAAGAAAGATACTTTGGAAAATGGTAATTCAGCGACTGTTAAATATAAAGTCTCGAATTAGATTTAGAACAGCGTAGCGTGGCATGTCTCATTATCTCTTCAATTTGTAGATCACAACGCATCGTATCGCTCTTTGGGATTGTCCATAATGTCTATCCTTGTCATAGAACAACTATGAGTTATCGAGATAGTAACACGACAGTTTGGAATCGAAATAAAGCAGTTCGAAAGGTGACATGCCGCGTTAAGCCATCGCCACGCGGATCGTTCTTAACGCGGCATATCACGCATCGCGCTACTTTGTTCGATTTACAACGTGTCACCTTATTACCCTACTCTGCTCCCCTTAGTTAAAGTGTCCTTATTTACCATTTTTCCATTTGTCGAAACACTCGGAACTCCGTATATTTTCTACCGAGGACAATTAACCTAAGGAGACCACTGTCCACGCTGAGGCAGCTCTCTGTGTCCTTCGTGAAACGCGGCTACAAAGTAGAAAACCATCAGACGATAGAAAACTATCAGGCAGGTTCGAACAGCTTTTTGGATAATTAGTTTAGAAGAAGCGTCTCCTAGTTATATATATATGTAGTGTTAAAAAATTTCCTGAAGACCTCTTTACCATTGGATAGATCGCGAAAAATCGAAGCGAAAAGTTCTTTAGCATTTTTTGATGGGATCAGTAGTTTAGCCATCTTTCGTTGTTGAAAATTGACCAATCAGCGCGCAGCTTGATTGGCAAGACCCGCGGAGTAGGGGACTAGCCTCCTCTGCCGCCGCCGAGCACGCCGAGGGTCGAGGTGCGAGGGCGGAGCAAGTAAACGGAGACTCCGATTCCGTGTAGTCTCCTACTCCGCGTGTCTTGCCACTCGAGCTGCGCGCTGATTGGTCAATTTAGGCGACTCTCGGCGGTGGCAGAGGAGGCTAGTCCCCTACTCCGCGGGTCTTACCACTCAAGCTGCGCGCTGATTGGTCAATTTAGGCGACTCTCGGCGGTGGCAGAGGAGGCTAGTCCCCTACTCCGCGGATCTTGCCACTGAAGCTGCGCGCTGATTGGTCAATTTAGGCGACTCTCGGCGGCGGCAGAGGAGGCTAGTCCCCTACTCCGCGGGTCTTGCCACTCAAGCTGCGCGCTGATTGGTCAATTTTTCAATTTTCAACAACGAAATGTGGCTAAACTACCGATCCCATCGAAAAATGCTACAGAACTTTTCGCTTCGATTTCTCGTGATCTATCCAACGGTGCACAGGTCATCAGTGAATTTTACGACACCCTGTATATTCAGGATTGCGGCTAATATGTAATCCATGTTGTCTGGAGAGGAGCAGAGGTGTGGGAAGTTTAAGAGGGATCGGACTATGGGAGAGTTCGACGATTTGAAATCGGGACGAGACTTAATGCACGGTACGATTACAGCATGACTCGACCAACGGGAAGGCACTTGGGCAAATTACGTGCCGAGTTGGCCGTCGTATCTAGCACGCAGGGCACACACCACCTTCGTATCCCTCTGTCTGTATCTGCGCCACTACAAAGACAGATCGTTTAAAAGTATTTCCTTAAAGAAACTTTAACTTCTTTTTTTTCCCTCTACTGTCTTAATCCTATGATATGTTCGCATTCGTTATGTATATATAATATATATATATATATGTATGTATAAGATTATTACGTAAATACACAATTTCTCTTCTTTCTTTCTGCCTCATTTACTCACACACTCGCGCATCTTTCTATCACTCTTCCAACACGTATTCGTTCATTCAACCATCACACTCGTCTAGGATATTAGACTCTCCTTAACAAGATACATAATTAAATGTATATAATGCTCGCCTTTCGCGACGCGCCAATGATAAAACATAAATACACGCTTCTTAGGGCACCTTTGGTATTAAGCTTGATGTACTCGTCTTCGTCTCTTTTTTTTTCTTCTTCATCCTCTTTTAACTTTTGTTATCTATATCGCGCAATTTCGTCAACGAGCCACCGCGGTTGTCTCCAAAATATCCGTTTTCTTCATACCGAGTTATATCGTTTCCCACGCGTGATTCCCGGTACCGACACGCCTTCGTCCAATTAGTACTTCCGGAAACTAGTTAACGCGCTTCAGGTTCGCTCGCAATTTCTCTGTGAAACACCGGCCGTAACAAGTGTGTTATTGGTATCGAATCGTGTTGCACATCATTCTTTTCTTTTGAATAAATTCCTATTCGAAGGAGTCCTGTTGCTTTCCTTCTAACGCGTAAATTTTTTCTCTCCGTTGGTGTTCAATGTTTTACGTTCACCAACGCCCCTGTCTAGAAGGGGTTAATAATTTCTTCGAAGACAGCGCGGGGCTCGGTCCTTCGAAAATAATATTCCGCGATTGTGGACTGTGTGTTTGTATGTAATTTCGAGAGTGTCTTCCTGCTTTTACACAGTTATCTGATGTGTATATGGATGTAGATCATCGGTGAAAAATTTCAAATCATTTATTTTCATAATGAAAATGCATTTACCCAGAATGGTCACTGGTAATTCCAAGGACAGTCGATTAAAATTATTTGTTGAATTTTAACGCGTTGACTGACACGGTGAAAATGGCCATGTGTATTAAGGCACGCCATAACTGCAATTATCGAGAACACGATTCTACATGTTATTTTGTGTAATTATTGTTACCTAAAATTTTCATTAATTATTTTTCTTTCAGTCATTCGATTATATTAAATTATTGATGCCAAATCCTGTCAGTGGTGATCACAGAAATAGCCCAGTGTGCTATGAAAGAATACGGTATGGTATTAATTGGAAATTTCTCACCGGATGTCGTACAAGTGTAGGTGTGATGAATGTGGAGAGGTACGAAACGAAATCGTGTGACGGTTGTCGAAATCGCGGCGTGTGTAAATTCGCAGGAGCGTCGCGACGCCCCTCCGACTCGGCCCTCCCTGTAATCCGCGTTTTCTTTTATCCTCGTGTCTGTCGTCGTCTCTCGTTTCTTCGTCGTCGTCGTCGAATCGCAATCGCAACACTCGGTGGAAAATAAATAGACAAGGTAGTACACGGCTAAATCGAATCGATAAGTTAAGTCGTTAAAAAATATATATACCTAGGAATATCATTATATACGCGATTATTTTGGGCCCCCCGCGAGTCGCGAATCTCTTAATAACGCCATTGTTGTTATCCGCAACAATTTACAAGAATTTGCCTACTTAGCTGCTTCGCGAGAAACAAGGGTAGAAACACATCCCCCTCGTTTCGTCTTATTAATTTTCTCCTTCTCCCTTTTTTTTTTTTCTCTATCTCTGTGTGTACGGGTGGTTAGATTATCCTTTCTCTGCGTGCTTCTTTTCTTCCTTTTCACCCATCTCACACCACCCCCATCCCTTCGAGGTCTTCTCCTATCGTGCCATCAATTTTTCTTTTTTTCTTTTTCTTTGCTCACCAAATGACATAAATCTTGCCATCTGATAACGAAATATTTCGTAGTCGTGGATGGTTTCTTAGTCGTTGTAAAAGGGTGGAATTCTCGGTCGAACAGGGATGGGGGGTGTGCGCGCGCGTGTGTGTGTGTAAGCACGTCAGCTCTTCCCTCGTTCCTTTTACATGCCGTTGATGTCGATCTTAAGGTTGCCCGTTTTCTTCTCTCTTTGATCCCTGGAAAAGCGAACAGATCGATTAGACTGGCTCGAAATAAATGGAAGAAGACGGATACACCTATCGGTCGTTCGATTCGATGACTCCTTTAATCAAAAGGAGCATTGTTACGAATCTCGGAACGGTTATCGATCGCTATTTTCATTTGTCCTCGGAGAAGGAAAGAAAAATAAAAAGATAAACGGCCACGTTTTTTTCTTCTTGAAAATTGTACGGGGTACTTTGACTTTTCGACAACGGACTATCCCAAGGAAACAAAATAAAAGGATGTCTCGTCGAGGAAATGATCGAAAGCGTTCAAGCTGATAAGAGACAACAAAATCAAGCGCCAAAGGAAATTCTTTTTTGGCCCTGTCGCAGATTGTTCGTCAAAAGGAACAGGAACTTCCGTCGACGTTCATCGAATTCCCTTTGTTTTACAGTTTCTGTCTACGATTATTTACCCCCCATCCCATCTCGAAGAAATTCCTAACAGTTTCTATCGATCAGTCTAATGAGCCGTGAACGCAGCAATGAAACCAAATCGACGTCGAATATCATCGACGCAATGTAAACGAGGCTTAAGGTCCATTTATATTATCCATTCCGTGACCAAGTGTTTCCGTAACGTAACGCGCACATTATTATTCATATTGCATCAGGCAAAAAGATTTGCGAATTGAATATCAATTAGTTTTCTGCTACACTGTATGGTAGGTGCGGTGAAAAACTAGGCACTATCAGAAATTAGGTCATCGTAGGAAAATAAACTTTTATTAATGTATTAATTAGGAATCACTTGGTGCCTGATTGTATCAGATTTCCAATGGCACCCCTTGTTCTATTTAAACGATTTTAGGAATTTACAGGAAGCTATGTATCTGGATGGATAATATAAATCGGCCTTTATCAGTGCCCGTTCACGGTGAATACTGCGTTAACACGTTGAATACCATAGTAGAAGCACCTTATCTATTAATTTACTGCTTCGAACTAATAGCTTAAATATTGTGGACGTTCAGAGTTTTCTTTAGTTTTTTAATTCTTAGCTATGATTATCGATGACTTCTATTACAATGGACATAATAAAAAAAAAAAATCGAAGTTACAAAATTTTAGCCAAAGACATTAACCCATTAACCTGAATTAGATTTAAATGGTAATTATTTTAATCTCATGAATTTTTCATATCCCAAAATTATTTTTTTTTTTTTGTGTTCCACTCTAATTCCTATGGCAGTCAACGTGTTAACGAATCCGATCATTTTCGGAAGAACGACGAAACAGACAACCCAGATTTCGTCCCGTTTCCGCGGACCGACGTAGAAGAGACGCCTCGCCATTGAGTAATTTACGTACCTCATTAGACCGTGACTGCGTCCGGACTGAAAAGCTCTTTTTCAAAGCTTTCGGGATGATCCTTAGTCACGAAGAAGGAACGAAAGAAAGGTACAGGGTGGTCACGACGCTTTATTCACCGACGTGGAATAAAAAAAAAAAAGAAAGAAAGAAATATTCTAATACATCGGATATTCCTTCAGCAGCCACGTCCTCTTTTACGTCGCGATGCCAAAGCGTCTCCGTCGGTTAAGCGAAATGAATTAGTGACGATGCGTTTTATTTCCCGGTCACCCAGCCCCAAGCAGCTTCTATCAATTTTTCTAATTTCAATTTTAGAGGAAAGTCGGATAATTTTATTTTTTTAATTATAAACTTCGTAAGATCTCAATGGATTTGTATTAGACGTAACATTAGATTAAGATTGCAGAAGAGAAAACAGAAAGGAGATCGATGCAATCCCATGGATATGGTTCTTGCGCAATTGTACAAGAACTTATCGTCGGATTTGCGATGATCTACGCTGTTCTTCTCGCGATACGTTACTGTAGAAATATCGCTGGGATTCTACGATATTGGCTAACCCTTACTTCCGTTTTGCAGCTCGATTTTTCTTTTCGATTTTCCGTCATTACCCGACCTTCCCCTAAATAATAACGCCGATAAGAACAATAAAGATTTCTACCAGATGCGCGAAAGGTTTGTGCAGGTTTTTGTGCTATAATACAAAAAACAGAATCACGTTCAGGGAAGAGAAAGAATACGCGAGTGGACAGGGCGGAAGTGAACGGTATGTACAAGATCAAGTACTATGCGGCACAGGCAACATCGAAGAAATTTAATGAAAGATAATGTCGAAGGAGTGCAATATCGTCCATAAGTATTAGGACAATTTTCATATTATCAGGAAAATATAAATTTATTCCTTTGATTAAGAATAAATATAGAGAGGAGAAACATTCCTTCCTAAGGAAAAAGAAAAATATTTATATTATAAAATTTTCATTAATTTTCCATTAATCTCTTCAGGGATGACAAAAATGACTTATTATTCATTTTATGAAAACAATAAAAATGCAGAAAAAACCATAACGTCCACACTTGTGGCCCCTGAGCGTTAATAGTAATTTATAAGTGAAATGATAAGTGGGCAAGGGCTTCAAGAGATTAAAATAAAACTATCGCCCTTTCAGTGAAATTCGATTAAATATCCAAATACCTATGAACGAAATTGTAGGTAACAAGTGGATCTCGAAAATTGCCGGCTGTAAACTGTCGTTTAAAAAGAACCAAGAAGAAGGTAAAAATAAAACTAACGAGAAAAGAAGAAACGGATGACCGTAGCGAAAAATCGAATTATTTCGAATGGCCAGATTAATCGTGGCCAGGCTTCACCGTTGAAAGAGGAAGAAAAAGAAAAAATGACAGATGGACAGAGAGATAGGAAGAAGAAGGTAGAAAAGATCGGCAGTTCGTGCACGATCTATAGGCGATTAGCGGCAGATAATTGACAATTGGCACCGCTGATACCGGTGGATTCCCAGCTTCCGTGTAACCTGGTGTGATTACCATCGATCGCGATCCGAGATCGATCGTTCGATCGATCGGCACACGAGCGAATATCTGCGGTTTCGATACGTCAAGCAGTGTCTTTGCCAGCCGAGGACGAAAATGTGCTACGCGATCGATTGAAATCGGACAGCCAGGTAATCGAGTCCTGCTGAGACCACTGAACCGTAGGGAGCCAGGAAAAATGCCCTCAGAGGGTCGTAAATAATAGAATCTTCGAAAATATGATTGTTTTGTTAAAATAGATACTATTATTCTGTGATAGAGAATCAGGTTGATTTTGGAACTTTAAATAAACGAAACTAATGTAGTAAATTAATTTCACAGGTACTTCAGCTCCCTACGATAGTTCTGCGGTGTCTGACGACGAAAACGCAGTCCCATCCCTCGAAATCGATACGTATCTCCATAGATCGATTATAAGAAAGATTCAAAAAAATCTAAATTCCATCGATGATATAGAAATAGAATTTCTATTGTTTTCCTTCGAGTCATCGAAGTGAAATAACGAACGAAAGTGAATGGAAATTGAATGGAGACGATGGCGGGAAGGAAAGGGGTGTGAAAAAGGGGGGTGTTGCGTTTTCGTCGACGAATAATCACGGATTGATAGCAGCTAGCGTAGCATAAAATGAAACCTACTTCGATCCAGAGATTTGTAAAGCCCACCTCGGCCATTTTTGACTTTGCATATTCGATTCGTATTGCTCCCCGGTCGGAGGAGAGGAGAAAGGATCCTTGGAGAGTGGCCATCGCCTGGGCCGCGTAGCGAACGTCTTGGTATTCGACAAAGGCCACTGGCGACCCTCCCTTCGTGTGCATACGAAGCCGGGAGAAACCAGGAAAACTGTGCATAAATAAGAGAAGCGTACAATACGTGCTCTAGTTAGTTACGACAGATGGTACTCTAGTCAAAGAGAAAGGGCTCTGTGTGTGTCTGTGTAGGTGTCGGTGTTATCGCTTGCCGATGGTGAACGCTGAATCGAACAGGAACGAGACGAAACACTTCGTGATGATACTATAAAGACATTTATAGAAAATGAAATTTTTTTTCCAAATCGTATAAATTTTTCAGTTATTTCCTTTTGAAATCTTCGGTGTACTGAAAAATTTCTATAGCTACGAAAATCGATTACCAAAGAATTTATTATCCAACTCGAAGTATCAATTGGATCGTTACAACGCCGTTAACCCTTTGAGGGGCAGTGGGACGTATTTGTACCACAATTTTGTTTTTAGTTTTTTCTTTAATTCGAAATTAAGTTAGATTCTTGGGGTTCCAAATTAAGTAATTTTCATGGAAATCTGTATAAATGTGTTTACTTATAATTAGTTGTAAACAATTAAAATACAAAAAACTCGTTTTTCTTCAGAATAAATTCGGTTATTCTTGAACGAAAAGTCCTAGAGCTCTGAAAATTTTTGTGCATGTATTCTATACTTAGTACTGTAACAGAATTTCTCGCACGCCAGTTTTCTCGAAAAATTTTTGGAATTTTGCTATTCTGACATTAGAATCGTAATCAGCGACCCCGAAAACCCCTTAAATAACCCCTTTGATTTCAATAATTTGTTCGGAAGAAAAATGTGCCCCTCAAATGGTTAAAGGAAATATCCATATCAATTATGATTTATGACGACTCTACCACTAACTACGTGCCGATCAGAGTAGAATCATTCGTACTTTCACTTCTTTTCTTTTTTCCTTCCCGGTTTCTCCGGTTTAATGGGAAGAAACTCGTGTATTATCCCATAATTTACCCTTCTTTCGTTCAACATGTCCGTGTTACTCGTCGGCTGTTCCTTTTTAGGCGGCACCTTGTGCGAGCCAGCGTGTGTCAGGGTGTTAATAATGCCACTATGGGTCTATTTACATGTACCACTGACGTATACGTTTTAATTTTATTAAATAAAACAGAAATATAGTTGCTATTTTCATTATGAAAATTAAGACTTTTGTATATTGGAAAATTACCATTTACCATTTTCCAAATTTTCCTCAAAATATTTCAGTAATTCATTCGGTCACGACATCGATACGTCACTGATAAGATGTAGATAGATGATAAAAGTTCTCCATATCGATACTGATGATTACGGGCACTAGCACAGGTGCGTCTTACGACTACGATCTACAAATTGGTGGCAAATGATCAGCGGATGTCGGTGATTACTTTTGGAGGCGGTGCTGTTAGTACGAAGCTCCCGATATCTCGATATATGACAAGGTTTCCTGGAATCATTTATTCGGATCGACCGCGTTCTTAACGCGAATTCCACGTGAATGGAGACGCGCTCGGATTGTGAATGTTAAGGACACGTTAGAACGTACAAAGAGACAGAGGAAATGTGGCTGATTCGGCGTCGACCTATATTGTTCTCTTAAATTTCTAGCTGCGTAATTGTTTCCAGAGTAGCTTGCTACTCGCTAGGAAATTCGTCGTTTCCAGTTCATTGCACTGTGACACAGATACGCTCGAAAACAGTGGACAACGTTCAATCGGTTCGATAACAATTCGTCGTGATAAATGTTTTTTTAATTTCATCATTTATCATCCGAATGCAAAGTTAACCCGTCGACGGATAAAAATATCGTGAAAAAAAACAAAAACAAAAAAACCACTTTTCTACCATTCAGAGAAAAAGCGAAGTTATCAATATTGGAAAAGTTCCAGAGGTACGCATGGTTGGGAAAACGAATTAATTGTAGGACGGGTCGATGGAAATATAGTTGAGGAAGGGTTAACGGGTCAAATCACAGCAATAGGACCGCGAACGAGGTCTTTGTATGCTATTCAATTCGCGAACCTGCATCTCGCATTGCAATGAATGAACTGGATATGACGTCAGTGGTCTGTATATGACGCAACCCGCTGCTATCGATTCCTTTTTTCGCACAGGTGTCGAAATAGCTTGCGAGAATGAACCGGCGAAATTATACGATCACCTTAAAATACCCCAACGATATCATATTCATGATTTTAGAATAATTAGCTCTTAAACGGTGTTTTATTCATAGGACATCGTAGATCAAACGGGAGATACTAAAATCATAATATCATGACGGAAAAGTATCTCAGAATAGCACTGGTGGCGCATTAATTTAATGTTTATGCTTTAAATCTTCTGCTAATATTCTTACTATGGAAGAATTAAATTAGTAAGGGAACGAGGGATTCGTTTAATTTAATTTTTAAATATTGCCATTTAATATTAGGTACTATATACTTTTTTTCTTATTTTATTTTTCAATTATTTAATTGAAGTAAATATCCATGGCAGTCAACGTGTATCTTCAGGATAATTTGATTTTTGTTGAAATATCAAGGCAGGAATAAAATATTTCTCTAGATGCGGATGTTCACGATTCGAAGATCGTTAGGGAAGGTTGAAGAAGGTGAAATCGGCCAGGTATGCGAGTGTCACGCTAATTTGGATAGCGAGAGCGGCTAGAGTCCTTCTTTTCCCTTCGTGCAATTATACCGCGGAACCTCATTACATGGCCAAGTTCTGCGTATGAATTCCCGAGTAGCTGCCCGAGTTAATTACACACGTTTACACGTACGAGACTATATACAATTTTCGGCGCTTCTCTCGTTTCCTGTTCGAAGGAAATTCTGTATTTCCGGTCGCAGTTCTGCCTGACCGAAACTACACATCCTATCCGGCCAATCGACTCGTACTTTAATCGAAAATTATTCCCAAATTTTATTATCCTATTATTTCTGAATTAAAGTAAATTAATATTTTATTATTTCTAAATTAATCTAAATTAATATTTTATTATTTCTAAATGAATCCAAATTAATATTTTATTATTTCTAAATGAATCTAAATTAATATTTTATTATTTCTAAATTAATCTAAATTAATATTTTATTATTTCTGAATTAATCTAAATTAATATTTTATTATTTCAAACCTCAAGTTCGAAAGGAAACGTTTTATCTTTCAAGGATCAAGCAGATTAAGCCTCCGTGCATTTACAGATTTGTCGGAAGTAATCAACAATCATTTCGATTAAAGACCGCTTGTAAAAGGTAATTGAAAGAATGTTCCAGCGTTTCGAAGCTCTAACAAATCACTGTTTAAACACGAGCGTAGATCTACCCAGAGTCGTGGGAAGGTTCTGCATGGCGGAGCATTGAAAATAATTTATTATCCGAATACATATTTCAATGCGACTATTTGCTCCGTTGCATTTTACCCGGGAAATACCAATCAAAAAGCAAAACGCATTTTCTGATCCGTTTTAATTATCCATTAACCACTTTCGACCTTTCCTCTTGAATGAAACGATATGAAAATTCAAACAATGATTATTGAAATTTTCGGCAATTCTAGTGAAAATTAATTATTTCTATGGCCGGTTTATTTGTATAATAAAATACGCAAGAGTCGCTGATTTTATTTATTGCATCAAATTCACGAATAACTCGCATGGATATATCATCCGTCTCTTTCTTTCCTGGTACCTTTTCGTTCCACACCTTTGTGTGTTTCATAATTGGCCATTTCGTATGTAATAACATCGTACGATAGATCGCACGATAACACGAGAATAGGTGTTGCACGTGTATATAGTTTCTATTTTGAAGAGAACGACTTTGAGAAGCAATAGAGCGTGTTTAACTGATTTGACTCGGTCTAATAAATCTTGCTGCACGCTTTCATCGAGATCTCGATGTAAGGAAAGCTTAGTGGATCGTGTCGGATCGAAGACGCGTGAATTCTTATCGATATTGTCCGAGTCGTTTGATTACTTCATGCCTGGATGGTTCGATGTATCAATCGAGGAAGATTAGTTCCAGACATTATTAGATGGTAAACTAAAAGTTCCAGACATTATTAGATGGTAAACTAAAATTTACACGTTGACTACCACAGCGTTATAGAAAGTGGCATTTTTATTTTTTTTTATTTTATTCCTTTCCTCCAACAGCAAAGTGTACCGGAATGTCTTCTATCGTTAAGAATTATTTAAATATCAAATCGTAATTAGTATATAAATGGTACCCTGTATATCAAACTTGGTCAATGGAACGTGGAAGAAGGTAAGCTCGGTTCGAATTACGGTGAATTCCGTTTTATACGGTGCTAAGTATTCGTAAAATGAATAATTTACGAGCGTACTAACGACGATAACAGTCATACACGTCAATTAACCGCACACGCGCACGATGTTTGTAAAGTGAATTTTAGCCGGCTCGTCTCTGATTTCATTTCCGACCAAGGAACTTGTTCGGGAAGTCATTATTTTGTCCTACCGGGCCAGATGTTGCGGACACTTTCCAACCGTTAGTTACGTGTCTTCCTTTCCCATTCATTATCACGATAAGTTGCTGTATCAAACTCGAACGACCATTCGTATAAACACGAACTTTGCTGTTACAGGGAAACGTGAATTAATCGCGACAGAAGCTTAGGGATCGTTTAACGCGAACGATAAGAGAATTAATACACGATTTCCTATCCGAATCTTTTCCGGGGGTGGTTTTAATAGAGGGAGTTCCCCTGGTACCAGGCGGCATTGCACCTAGTATCGGACATTAGCTATATCTAAAAGAACTGAAATGAGACAAAATTGTTTTATCCTCTCCTTTGTTTTAACGATTGAAACAATAAATTCTTTAAAACTTTTAAAATTTTAATTTTAATATTTTTTAATTATATAATAAATTCAAATCATTATTTTTAAATCAATATTTTAATCTAAAATTTATTCAATTTAAGAATGTTAGGTATCGTCCGGTACTAGGGGATCTCCTCCTATGATAAATTTCAATAGGGCACTGGTATCATTTTTTCTTTCTTAAATCTCATTATTTCTCATTCTCGTCTCCTAAAAAATATCAACAGCACCCACGTATACGTAGAATAACTGACCAGAAACTGGAAAGCACTGTCCATTGCAGAAATGCATAGGATGCATCGTAATGGTAGAGAATTTCTGTAATATTCTGCAAACGATAAATCAATATTTCAAATTGCTTTCTAACCTGCTGAAGATGTCCTTGAGCTCGTGTTCAGACACGAACTGACCAAGGTTCGCCACGAACAGGGTGGAACAGGGTGCGTTGCTCACTGCTATGTTCGGCTGAGACGAGGGTGAACCCACCGGCGATGCCAATGCCGGGGAGGGTAGGAAATGGGGCAGCGACGCGTGTATCGACGTCAGCGTCGTTGGATGCGGCAGAGACATGGGTGCCTAGAAAAGAAACAACATTTTTCATCGTTATTTGAAATTTTCAGTACAACAGAAACGCGAATAGGGATAGTTGAAAGGGAAATGTGAACGTCTATGTTGCTTCAAAAGATAGAAAATAAAAATTAATCTAACGACTGTTTATAGCATACGCTTTTAATTATTAAGTTTATTATTTTCAATTAAATTTGATTTACGATGAAATTGTGCTTGGTATTGATTTACAAAAGTATTAATTGATTTAATCGTAATAAATAGAAGCTTGATTAATTATATTTAATTAACCTTTCACTGAAACAGAGACGTTCGTGTAATGACCGACACGATAGACGAATGTATTATTAATTATTTAAGAGAATCTCAAATCTAAGAAAAAGAAAACGTCCACTTTAATGACATTAATATCGCCTAATATTCCGTTTGCATTCGCTTTAGGTAATTGTTTAAATAACACGAATGCGCACCATTGAAACCGCAGTCCATGACCGAGTTACGGAGCGTGGATTAATTAACGCAGGAACCGTGTTAAATACAACTGCAGCATAATTATCAGCAGCGTTAAAAAATATAGCGTACGATGGAAGATGAAGAAATTGCTGTTTACACAAATTCGTTAAGACAGATTTTAATGAAAATTTCCGGTTGAAACGTGTCACTGTTGCGACGTCTGATTAACTACGCGTTGTACTACTTGTTTCGGAAATCCTATATCACTGCACTTGCCGCGTTTTCATTCACCGATCTCAAAATTGGATTCTTGCTTTAATCTTAAGATGTATATATTTAAGACGGTCTTGTATTAAAAGAATTTGTTAAAAAGTCAAGTTATTTTAAATCGCAAACGGCGAACTGTTTCACGGCTCAAAAGATGTTTTCCACAGAAATTTTTCTGACCGTATTTTTTCCATTATAATCGCCAACAGAATTAGGAGAATCTCGACTGTACAGGAATCGCCATGTAAACGCTTATGAAAGCAGATTGCAAACTTCCCAACTGAATATATTCTCTATTTAACCGAGCTTTTGCCTCGTTATCCCGTCGAGTGGACGCTGCAGAATATTTTCATTTCTGTTCAGAAAATAGTGGTATTTACCAGCGGTTCAAATGGTTGTTTAAAAACAGACAAGGATGACTCGGTTTTGCAATTAAAAAATTAAATGAACGCTCCTCGGTATTCCTACGTTTGAGTTGCATTTCATTAGCATTGATAATCGATGTCGAAGATGAACAAAATTTTTGAATTATTTAAACGAGAAGAGGTAATAATTTGATTTATTCTAATGAGCAGAATAATTTTAATTTTACTTTAAATAAAATTTCAAATAAAATTGCAAAGAATAAATTTTTCCTCGAATCGAATAAGAAATGATACTTCCTTCGTGTTGTCACGTTACTGCAATAAAAAAGAATTCGATATCGTTCATACGCGTGATAGGTACCCTCCCGAACCTGGCACAGGACTAGGCGATATTAAAAATCAATAGTTCCTGGTTGTTTGGCCAATTCGTACCCGGCTGTACCACACCGTTCTTACCTTGTTCCGGAGAACGAGGTATGGTACGATGGCACGCCAGAAAATTTTGCGACACGTCGAGAAAAAGCACTTTTTTATTAGTAATTAATTCATGGTCTTAATTAACTTTTGTAAGCTGTGAAAATTTTTTTAATCAAAATGCAGTATATTCCTCTTATTCGCGGAAAAACTTTGATACTTTCGACTGTGATTTTTGGAGTTTCTCGATTTATAGCTTGTTAATCGTGATTTGATTGGAACTGGTTTAATTATTTTGGTTGTTTCATGATCATCCTAACTCACGAGGTAATTTGTTCGAATATTTTTCACTTTGATTCAATTTTAACCCTTTGCGGTTCAAACCCTGTATAATACTTTATTATACCATTTGAAAAAAAATTCCAAAAAGAAAAATAACCATTTTTCAAAAATATGAAGGGCCTTTAAGAAAATCTTAGGAAAATGAAATAAATTTTGAAATAGTGAAAAGCACGTTTATCTAAAAATTTAGTTCACGAGGTAATTTGCTCGAATATTTTTTAATTTGATTCAACCCTATATAATACTCTATTATACCTTTTCAAAAGAAATTTCAAAAAGAAAGATAACTATTTTAAAAAAATATGAAAAGCCTTGAAGAAAATCTGAAGATAACGAAGAAGAACCTCTTAATTTTTCAAATAGATTTTGAAACAGTGAAAAACACGTTTGTCTAAAGATTTATGTGTCGCATTCGAACATATCAGCCTGTCTTGGAAGCAGGTCGAGCCGTGAACTCGTTGGTCTCGCAATGTCTACGTGCGTGTCTACCTGCTAGATGTATCGTATGCTAGGTAATCGAGTATAACGATCATGTATCACTAACGTGCATCGGGGCGCTCGTCGGCGGCTCCAGAGCTTTGTCTGCAGATAGTCAAAGATAGGAACGTACGGGGACCTGAGGATGTAACGCCGGATGCACCAGCGTCGCGTGTTGCAGGGTGCCGGGTAATTCGCCAGCGGTCGAGTACGCCAATGGATGGTGCCACAATTCAGGACCACCAGGGAAGAATGGGCTCCCTAAGTCTGCAATAGAATAGACAGTTAATGGTGAACACTAACATAGCCACACGAGAGTCTTCAGGCTATTACCGATCGATTTCCTTACACTTGACACCGTTTCAAGTAGCAAAACTCTGTTCAGAAGAATAAATTTTTCATCATTTTTTTAATGAAATCTCCTTTCAAATCCGAATTTACATCGGAAAGTTTCAAACGGTGTTAAGTATAATGATATTAAGTATGATTTATAGTTATGATTGTACCAATGAAACGATTAACCACGATCAAATCTGATCTTCTTATTGAAATGACAATTTTGTTACATTTCACAGATTCTGCAATGCAGGAACTTACATACTTCTATTTTATTCCAACGAATTAATCTTGGAATTAAATAACATCGATCAGAGTCAATTAAAATGAAATTATGAATGATTATTGATTGATGTTGAATAGGTTTCTTTGTGCCGCAGGTCGACTGCTTTACATCCGATGGAATGGATGATTTATTTGGCATATCGTGACTAGAGCGGTTTTCTCTCCCTATCGATCTGTTTTTCTGCTTTTGATAAAGACTGATTCTATTTGATTGATGGCGAAACGTGTATTTGCGTGTTTCAGATCTACTAGAATTCAGTTCAAAGTATCTTCTTAACCATCTCTTGAAACAGTTAAGTAAATACGTATGTAAAATGTTAATCGATAGAGAAATAAAGATATAACGTCCTATCATTACTAAAAGAGACATTTTTATCTATCTAAAACGTTAATGTTTATCGGCACGATTCTAAGAAAAATAGAAAACCTATGGAATGCAAGATGATTGCATCTAAACAAGATATTCTTGCCAACATGCATACCCATTCGACACAATCACGTTACTAAGAATAGGTAATAATCATTCATAATTCTATTTTAATTAAGAAAAAAACGCTTTGAAGAAATATCTCGAGCCATTGTATCGGGTCCTTCTATCATTACACACATTTCATCGTAAGTTTCTACATCAAGATTATTTACAACGAAACTACATAATAGCAAGATGTGGCCATCGAACACGTAATCATTGACTTCTTAGAAGTTGGAAAACACTTATGATTAACCACACTGAATGCCACTCCTCGAGGTTTGTCCGATCTCCTCTAATACCGGCATTACATATTTCCTACTGAACGTTCGAGGACGCCTTTAATCTTGCTCGAGCGATTTTTTGGTAACAACGTGTTGTTAAAATTTGTTCGTGGAATGCGATGCAATAATTAGAATAAAAGTTGGCATTAATTTTTAAATTCTAACATTTAAAAAATAATCTTTTTCAAGATCAAATTTTTACCTATAATTTCTATAAATCCTTTAAAAAAGAGGTGCGAAAGGAAAATTCTCCAACACCGCACTGATTTGTACCGCGAGTTCATCGTTTGTCGTTTGCAACCATTCGTTACCTTTGAGCCTTTTTTTCCGCTGGCGAACCGGAAGTGCTTGACGCTTGCACACGTATCATATTCACCAGCCGGTGCTACGAGAAGCGTCGTCGTCTGCCCTCCCAGTAAAATCAATGCAAATCGGCTTCCACGAAACCGTTTGTTTCTCGTGACCGACGATACGTCACGAACCGGCAATTATTCCAGAAAGATTGACCAAAGTGGCCATGGTTGCGCAACAAGACGATCCTTTCATAGAACGATGCAACGGAATCAGGTGAGGCGAGATCTGACTCGACCTGGTTCCATCGAGCTTTATAATTGATGATCGCAAATGAGCCAGGTACGGTTAATTGAGAAAAGAACAAAAAAGTAAATCTGAGCGTAACTTTTTCAGCTAGAGAAATGATTGATACTACAATTTTCTGAAACACGATTTTACTCGGCTGATTTATGGGCATTGATGTTATAATATTTTCGCGATGCATGCATTTTAAATTCACGATAATTTAAATAATTTCTAATAAAAATAAACGTATCGTGTAAAATTCTCTGATTATTAACACTTTGGTAGCTGCACTACGGTCGTTGCACCTTGGTGGATGCACTTCGATGGCTGCAGTTGTTATATAAAATTCCATTCGTATTTAATTTTCATCGTGATTTTAGTATAAAAAATTCAAATAGAAAAATCAGGAATTCATGATATAACATCTATTAAAGTGTTAAGATTCATTAACCCTGACGCATCAATCTGAACGATTCGTATAATCTTCTAATTAAGTGTCGTTAGGGAAGTCAGACCAGTTAATGAGCTTTGGTTATGAATTTTTAAGTCTTTCCGTTTCGCCACGTTTCAAGAAAGATAAGGTATCTTAGATGACCATAGTCGTGTAAAAACCTCGCCTTTTGTAGCATGTTACATCGAGATCGGTAGAGGTAGATCCGAGTCAGTTCGAGTTGGCTGCATCGAGCTTGGTAATTAGCGATTTTCCTGCCAGCTGGGAATATCTAATTTACCGTGGAAATTCTTTTTTTTTTTCTTCCACGTACCGTGTTAATACGTGTTCTCGAAACGACTACGTGAAAGTTTAAAGCGTTTCGAGAACACGGTTCGGATACTTCGAACTTTGACTCCGATTCTTTGAAACTTTTTCATCCACTTTCATTCAACACATCTCGTTCTTAGTCTGATTCATTGTAAAATGTATAATTCTTAATTGTATTCGTACAGTTCCATATAAAACGTAAATAAATAATTAATTTTTTGCAATCGACTCAAAGGTTATTCATTCGAATGCACTTGAAATCAACGATATTTGCAATAAAAAGAGGATTGAATTTTATGAATCATCTAACAATAAGAAACTATTTCCTTTGTAATTAATTTCTAACATTCGAACAGTGTTAATTAGTCTTTGATTGGTAATCAACTTCTGAAACGTTTTTAATTAGTCAAAAAACTGTTAGAAAAAACAAATTAATAATTAAAATGCATATATTATGCAAATAGAAACCTGTCTCAAAGTTCGATGAATGTATAATAAAAATATTTTGTAGCTTTCCTTTCAGATTAAAGTAATCACAATATTGACAAATAAAAGATCGATATGCTTTCTACTGCACATGAATAAATAGAAATAAACTTCCTGAAAAATTGAAAAACAAAAAAAATCAATATTTCTTTTTCGCCTGCAAAAATAACAGTTGGCAAATAATAACAATTTAAAAGTGGGTTACACTCTAAACTCGTATGTTGCTTTTTTATGCAGCTTGAGAAGTTAATTTTTCCTGCAACTTTTCAAAGATATTACTTTTTATCATAACATCATTGAATGAAGTTATAATTCTTACAGTTATCTTTAATGAGCTGTGTAATTGCTACACAAAAATAATTTTTTCAACTTCTTTTCAACTGTTGCGAGGGGAAAAAAAACAGCAAATAATTTAGTGATACGTTGCACGTACAGATCGTATGCACTTTTTACCATCATACGGGTTTTTGTACGTGGCAGGACCTTGCACTTTATTGATCTTAGGCTGACCTGCGATTCCCACAGTGAATTGCAACTTCCACAGTGCACGAGCTTCCTCCATACTCTTTTTCTTACATGTTTCATCAATTTTCACCAAATTCATTCATCAATGTTTTCTATCTTTAAAAGGCAAAATTAACAATTTATTTCAGAACATTTAGCATCGCGGTACTCGACGTGTTAATGGAATTAATATTAATATTTAACTATTTAATATTAATAGCATAATACCAAATTCGCGGTATCGGCTACTGGCGACAGGAAATGCGTTAACATAATTCCGAATGTTCAATGATAACAGAACAGAACGAACGATAAAACTTCGAACGGATCGAAATTTACAGGATAAAAATCTATTTCCCACGGTTGTTTTTTCATCGCGATCCGACGAACCAACCAGCGACGTTAAATAAAATGTTTATTTTAACGTGAAGCGTATCGAGCGGATCTGGAGTGGAAGAAGCGTGGACGCGAGTACAGGTGAATAGCGGTTACGGGACACCTTTGTTTCATCAAAACCAGTGAATCTAATATCCACGCGGTTACAAAGGACAAACGTATGAAACGCGAACGAGCGCTGTTTGAAAAACATTAACACCGTGAAACTCGAATTTCTCCACACTTTTGCCTTTGTATTTGCATTACTATCACTCTATCCACAAAATCAAGTCCTATGCTTTGCACATCCAACATTATTTCAAGAACCGATTGTCTAATTTCTAAGAGGATTTTTTTTTTTGTATTTTGAGTGATAAATTATCGCGATTGAAAATCACTTTCATCATCAAAATGTAAATGTAAATGTTTCGATGTTTAGTACACGTCATTCATTTAGAATTTATTATAGTGAACTGATTGTAAATGCAAATGTAAGTAACAGCGAGTATGCACGAGCCTGGAGATTATAATGAAAGGCTTTGCTTCAATTCATAGCGTAGGATGAAGAATATTTTTGTACGCGTGAAGTTTCGAAAAGTATCGAAAGGAAATGCCTCGTATTCGTGTAATCGATTTCAATTATTATGATTATCCTGCCCTGTTTGGTCGTCGCGCAGAAACTGCACTACGTTGCATTACTTACGCGTCGAGGAATGCACGTATGCAAGAAAATTGCACGGATCGCTGAGTTTTCGCACGGTACAAGGTAAACTGTTTCCACCTCGACGCTTGTCCACGGTGTATCCTTCGACACACACAGACGTGGATTCTTATAAATTTTGCGCAGCACTTTTAACACTTTAATAGCAACGTTGAATTCGACGAAAATTTTTTAAAAATTCTAATTTAATTCATTTTTATTATATAAATGATAATGATTTATAAAAATTTCTTAATAATATGAGAAAAGTACTTAAAAGTACAAGAGCTCCTAACTTTTTATCTAGAGAATTTTCAGAAATCTTTAAAGTAGATGAAATAAGGCAATTTCATTCTTTTAGTCGCTGTTTCTGTGGTATTAGAACGTATTAGCCTGAGGTAGTTCGAGGTGCCTTCTTTTACCGGGTTAAACTTCGTATCTTAGCCGATTAATATCTCAGTTTCGCTAGAAATATTGTCTGACTTAATTTTCATCCTTCCTAAGCTTTACATATTCCCCGGTGTCTACGTAAGGTTTGAAATTATATCTCAGCTTTGTTCTATTTTTTATTCTATAAATAATACTTCGTCTTTTATTTCTATTGAAATCTCCATCTGATACGCAAGAACTTAATAACTCGAATTGACATTGCAAATTTCTACAAATAGTAACATTGCATCGAGGTATCAGATTACTTATTTTAATTAACAACCGCGCCAAATGTAATTTCTATTGAACGTAGAGATCAGATTTCTCGGATGTCGGTCAATATCAGTATTTTCTGACGCTGAGCTGAACTAATTTATTCCATTTTCATTTATATTTCAAGACACGAACGTCGTTTCGTAACATCGATCGTTAAAGATTAATCAATCCGTTTCTCGTTAAAAATATCTTCCTCCTTTCGACAGATATACATATGTGATCCTTTTAAATAATTACGAATCACATTAAACTCCTTTTGTATGCACTTGGATTTTTTTTACAAGTAACGTAACTTCCTTTAGAAATTCGATTGAAAAACTTCTACCTGAATAGATTATGAGACTTGTCACTCTACCTGTAATCTTTTCTTTTACGTCACCTGCTTTTGTAAAATTCATTTATGTACACTAATGGGACTTGGCCCGTCTATTAAAATAAAATATTAGGTGTACAAATTAATTCGGTGCCTTTAGTATTACGCCTTCTTAATTAATGTATTTAATTTGAATATTTTCCTGCGGTTTTGAATATTTGAAAAGTGACAAGACAACATAATAATAATAACGATTATTTCAATAATTTCAATAATTGGTATTACTATGCCTTTTTAAGTCATTAATTAAAATAAAGAAAAGGCACCGAATTAATTTGTACACCTAATATTATTATTAATATCATCTAACAGAATAAATCCTCAACAATAAGTCCTGGTCTTCAGTTTACAACGAATAGTTTTTTCAGCATCCCCCTTGTTGCTTTTCAATACGATATTTCATAAAAGTAAAAACAATTCCAGCGTTATTTTTCCACCGTGCTAAAGAATCGAGTCCTTTCAAAGTTTCCCAAACGTACGTTACAGCAATTGACGTTTTAATTACAGGCTGTCAATACTTTTCTGAAAGGACAGGGACTTTTGTCAATCACCTTTGCTGTTCCCTCTGAACTTTGATACCAGCCAAAAACCATATTTTCTGTGCAAAAAAATCCGATCCAGATCTATCGACGTAACACGGCTGCCACTTTTCACGCGAAAATCTCGCTATTTTTATCGAAGGACTTTCAATAATTCAACACATTCCGTCGAGATATTTCGACGACTGCGTCCAAGTTTACCTGATTTTCTTTTTCCAATCGTTTTTCACGTTTGAACTTTATGTAACGATCGAGCGGGTATGTTTTATTCATACGATTTAAGAAGTAGCTGGTACTTTGACATTTCTTTAGTAATTATGCAAAAGGAGTCAGAAATGAAACAGGTTACGTTTCTTGTAATTTGAAGTGGAGTAGAGTATAATAATTAAACTTTATAAGAAATTGATATTTATAAATATTTTCATATGCAATCATTTGATTATTAATTGCAAACTTAAAAATTAATTCCAAGTTTTCATTTGAAGAACCCTTATCATCGTACTGAACGTATATTTATCGTAGTCATAAAATAAACATTCAATTTCCCTTTTCCAGTCAGATTGATCGCATTCCACTAAATTTTATTCAAATATTCCATTTCATCTCCAAAGGACGAACGAAAATGAACCGAACCGAAATGGTTCTTGCTAATTTCTATTTTAACGATCTAATGATTAAAACGACTCTCTTAACAATACAGATGCAGACGAACATAACTTTTCATAATCTGTTTTCAAAGAATTCGATTTATCGCTGAATTATATTCGACTGCATCGTGGATGTTCGTTGTATGAATGATCGATAGAGTTGTCGTTGTTTCGGAAGGTATCCCAACAGAACGCGAGGGAGATGCATGCCCACACGAATTAAACCGATCGAACAGTGATAGAAGTACAATAATTGATTTGGTGAAGTTTCGACGGTGAAATATTTCATTACCGTCGTTTTATAAAGTTCAATCGATATTAATGGTTTGTAGAAATGTTCCTGAGTTTTGAATGAAAAATTATACTGCGAGGAAAATTGATACCCAATTTGCAGTCCACGTTTTGATAAATAATAATCACAATTTGTACTTCGATCCACCGTTTCTCTCGGTAATCAAACTAGTTCGGAAAGGGTTAACTCTAGGACACCGTGTGGGGTGCAGGGGAGGGACGATAAAAAAAAATTGAAAAAAAAAAAAAAAAATTTGAGAGATTCAAGAAAGATAGAAAGAGATACAACAGGAAGGAGAATACTTGTAGTCAGTGCAGTGGGTGAGAATAGTAGTGAGATGTATTCAGCGAGTGAACGAGTGGCAGTGCATACTTACGTCCAGTTAGAGGGTGCATCAGAGCAGGGTGCGAGGTGGCTGCTGCAGCGGCTGGTTGCTTGGGTTTGCTAACCTTTGTGTTACTTTTTGCAAATTCCAAACGTATGGTTTGTGGCATATCAGGATCGAATCTAACCCCCTGCTGCAAATAGATTCCCTAAATTAGTAAACCGGGAGCACACGTGGATGCTGGATTTTGGTATTAGGAGAAACAGAAAATAGATAACAGAAAGAATGATAATTTTCATCTAAGCGTATCGAGTTTTAAACGAACCTTAATGTAAACGTCGCCAGCTATTAATTACTCTTTAAAAAAAGAAAAGAATTGACGAAAAAAATTTAGCAGAACGGAAAACAGAAATGATTATACATTTTTAATTACATTCGTATTAAAAATACTAATTTTATTAAAGCTGAAACTTCAAATTGATTTTGCAATACTTTTATATGTTATCAAATCATAATAGAACTGCTGGATCCAAACTCTATAATACGTCTTTTTACAAAAGTACTCAAAGTGTTAATTAAAGGTCTGATTAGTAATCTTGTTAATTTCATGAATTTTTTACCCGAATGTATCTACATGATATATACATAAATATTGACAAAGAGGAATTTGATTTTGAAAATAAGGAATCAACAGCTGGCGACGAAAGTTTCGTCAAAACGAGCCATAGTAATGGCGCAATAATGACGACAAAGGATGAAGGGGGATGCTGGTGACTGAATTACAGGAAAATTAGCGCAAGGTCAGGTGTGTGTATATATGTGTCTGTGTAAGTGTATATATATATCCGTGTACCAGATGGTAGGTAGGCTATCGGTATAAGTGGGTCGTTCGTTAGTCTGTTTCAGGGTGTTCTCAGCGAACGTGTCCATCCGACAAGAGGATGTTTCGAGTCTCTCTCGTATATAACCGGTTACACATGGTTATTAAAGACATTGCGATTTGCGTGAGGTCAGTTGCAGTGGTGTGATAAAAAAATATCCTACGTCATGTAAATATGTATATAAATAGTACGTATTTATACGTACGTACACTGGGTTAGATTCTGATAAACGTGTTATACTCTGATGAATCGTTTCTCGATTATCCATATTTGAAACTGGTTAAAGAATTGCCTAGTTACAAGTACAGGATGTCTCAAAAAGAATGAAAATTTTGATTAATTTTTCATTTCTTTTTATTTTTTTTTTTGAAACATTCTGTATACATTTTGCAAAATTCTGTGTCTCTACGAGGGGGTGTAAAATAGAGAAGATAGAAAGAGGGGGATTTGCAGGGGTGACACGCTTATCAGGAGGCAAAACAACACCATATATCGATAGATAATTTCACACAGTGCAACCAGCGTTATTACAATACGGTCTTGGTACGTATACAGAGAAGGTATTACTACGTTTTGTCCCAAGTAAAAAACAGGAAGAAGCTAATCGTAGAAATAGAGATAGGAAGAGATAAACAGAAAAAAAGGAGAGGAGAATATGTGTACTCGTGTATAGTAATTGATAGGTAAAGAGCTACGTAGCATTAACCCGTGCCAGCTGGAATCTAAGGCAGGGTGAACTTTCAAATGTATATATGTATATTTATTTATAATAAAAAAAAATAGAAATAATTGAGAGAGAGAGGAAAGAAAACGGCGGGCCCTGTCTGTACGTATGTCTGTGTACATAAGGTGTCTTTACTAATTCGTTCATTATTATTTCTTGAATTATTGAACATAGAAGAAGATACAAAACGAAAGGAAAAATATCATTTTGTTTAAGAAAATAATCAGATCGTCACAAATCAGCATGGACACCCTATATATAAATAAAATGTTTAATTATAAGGGAGCTCGGCTCATTTTTTCTCTCTCTATACCTACGAGAAACGGGCTATTACCTGTAGGTCCTGTTTCGCCGCCTCTGCACCTGCTCTTGTGTGAAAAGTCACGAACCCCACCGGCTGTAATCAAATAAAACAGAAAATAAGTAAGGTAATCGAGAATAACCTTTCGAAGGAAAGGGATAGTAATTTTTAGAATCGTAATATCTGTTGCAAATGCTATAAAATTTCCAGCCAACGTAATGTCATCAAAGAAATGAGGAAAAAGAAATATCTTACGAATCCATCATTCCTTCTTTCCACCGTAAGGATTCCTATGTTTTTATTTTTCGTATACGACATCCAATCTTAAGAGAAGAGTATATTCGAAAGGTCATCGATATTTTACGGGAAGGAATCAGCGGACAAAGCTTAAACATAAATCGAACAGGCTTTCTGCTTCGACGATGCTCTCAAGTTTACCCTCGGTTTTCTAAGACGGGATTCGAGAAGCCTGTAATTCACCGAGGAACGAATCGCTCGTTCAACGGACTTTCCACGGTGTAATTTTCCCGCAGAGTTTCCAACGAATTTCCACGCGTTTACCGCGAGAATCGATACGGGTCTTTCGAATTGGCCAACGTTTGCGGGAAACTGTGATCTGATTTTATCCGGCGAGAGAATGGAATTAAGAACAGCAGCACGAGCGGATCCAGAGTTTCAATCGAACTACGATGTTTTAACTCCTTATCCTGTATCGTCTGCCATATGTGGCGCGAACCAAAGTTGAATTTATTTTTCGTCTGACGAAGAACAAGTCAATTTTCAATTTTCAATTTTCAATTCTCAATTCTCAATTTTCAATTTTCAATTCTCAATTCTCAATTTTCAATTTTCAATTCTCAATTTTCAATTCTCAATTTTCAACTTTCAATTTTTGAAACTGATTTAAGTCCAAGAGAAACATGATTGAAATTTGAACAATTATAATTAGTACGATCTTATCATTTATTTCTCACGAATAACAATAAAGACTTGTCTATTTCGATAAGGCCTTTGATGTCATGGTTTATTCCGATTCCGTGACACCGTTTACATTCTAAGGATTCTTATCGAAACACAGAATTTCCGAACGTAATATCAGCATTTCGACGAACCCATTTTTATCAATACATCAATCTTAGTGGTCGCATGTAGGTTAATAGTTAATAGTCGCGTGTTGCTTGAACGACAGCCATCAATTTTCAACTACAACTTTTTTTTGCGTTTCAATTATTGCCATTTATATCGTGCAATTTTTATTGATCCAGAAACAAAGTAAAATAGTTTCACGATTGTGCTAAGAAAATGGCAACGAATTTCTTTCGTCTTGTGCAACAAAGTCTAACAAGATACACGACTCACTTATAGGATTATAAACGTGTCAAAACACAGCACTTCTATACATATAAAACAGCGAACGGAATGATTTATCTAACGCGAGCTTAGCCAGAGAAAACTGCAAGGCGATTATGCATGTACCACTTGTCGCGAAACTATTGCTCAGCAGGATTTTTGTATAATCGAAGGGTCGCGAGATTAAAATGTCGACGACTATGCATTTTTCCAGGGGGAGTTGTTCATAGAAAACAGGAACAATAAAATGAAAGTTTCATTGTTCCAGCTTCTGATCTATTTCCTCGATGAGACGCTTTATTAACGAAAAATCCATGGGTAACTTGTTTCCTAAACGTATTCGGTAAAGTTTTCGAAAAATATTTTTGACGTTGCTTTTAAAATGAATGAATCTCGTAATATAGTAAAATAAATTCCTTTCTTTTTCTTTCATTTCAAGTTTCCTTGCCTCGATTTCAATGATCCTCGAACGAGCTAAGGATGTCTTGAAAAAACAGAAAGTTGAAAAGGCAGCTAAAGAATCGCGTTCGGTTGCAGGGTCGCGGAAACTTTGAAATAAGATTTATTGTTTCAATTCGAGTTTCATTATCGCGTTTGTCATGTTACCTGCACACAGGGATCAACGAGAAATTTCATTAAAGGAACAGACCGAGGTAAAATCATTTTTCTAAATGAATTTTGTCTCTTCTGACGTTGTTTCTTTTTTTAACTAAACTCGTCAGTCGTCAAGTTTAACTACCTTATATGTATGATTAAAATTGTTTAAAATTATTAAAAATTATAAGTTGAAAGTTATAAACTTGACGAATCACAAATTTAGTTAAAAGAAGAAACAATGTTAGAAGAAGCAGAGTTCATTTAGAGAAATGATTTTTCCTCGGTCTATTTCCTTAATTTAAAATTGTTTAAAATTATTAATTCTAACTGTTTTCGCGATATTCTGAACAAAATTAGGTCGATCAAATTCGTGACGCAGCAAGCCTAGTTGAAGCAAAAAAATGCATTCGTTTTTCGATCGATTGGATCCCTCTCTGGTGTTATTTTAGAATTCTCGAGTAAAGGCCTTCATTATTGCAACCACATAGAGCGAGCACCGGGACAGAAAACGTTTAATGCTCGAACGACCAGGAGATTTTCCAACATTAAAGCGACAACGTTGTGTGTCGCGTGCAGGCCACCAGTGTTTCACTGGCGGACGCATAAATTAATGTTATCTCGACCAGGTATTATACAGGGTGTTGCAGAAATAGATGACCAAACGTAAACGTACGGTGATCAAATTCTGTATTAAAGCCAAGAAATGTAAAGAAAGGAGGAAAACTTTTCCTATTTTTATAAATAAATTTTTAAAAAATGTAATAAAATCAAAGAAAAAAATATAGAAAATATATTCATTGTTTCAAATTCAGTTCAGGGAATGGAATTCGGCAGGAAAGAAAAAGAAATGCGAAAGAGGCATTCTCGAAATCAGACGAAGCACTCTCTCAATCGACAGAGGATTCGATTGAAACTTCCTGTTCCCGCAAGTTTTCTCATCTGTTTCCGCAAGAAAATCTCGACACTTTGTCGACCCGTTCGCCGATTGATGGAAAAATCTTGGGAATCGTAAAAGGGAATCGGTATATATTCGAGAAGAATCCCTCCATACACGATTTCACTCCTTTCTTTTACCTCTTCCCTTCATTCCCTCTCGATAAACGCGTATATGGAAAATAGCGTATCCGAGCTATGGCTTTCACGATTGAAAATCTAGGACAGATTTCCATCGTTCCGTTAAAACCAAGCGAAACAATTTTTATCTTTATTCGCGTAGCCGAAGATACCAGCGCGAGATACGAGCGGTAATTTGTTGAAATAATCACTCACCGACGCTGTTTTCCCATTTTTGCTTGTGACTTTCAGCAGAGACCCCTCGTAGCCCTGAAACAGAAAGAAAAATTCAACATATATTATTATGGATAAAGCTGAAATTAAAGCTACAAATAAAGAAGAAATCTCGAAAAGGATTTTGGTTTTTTCCTTCGAATAACTTTAATTTTAATCTTCGGAAAAAATATTAAGGATACTTTTTATAATATCATCTTATCTCGGGTTAATTTAGCCAAGGTTTATTGCACCGTTTTTCAGGTTCTACACAATTCTTTACCGCTAATACCGACGTTAATGAAGTTATGAATTTATAAGCAGACGGTATTCACAATCTTCCAAGTGTTAAGAGTAAACTGAAGTTATAAGGCTGAATCTGAGAAATTTGCATATCTCCTGTGCAATTAACCATGGTGTTACTGATGAAACGTGCTACCCAGTGGCGGTGGTATTAAACAAACTTTTTTTTAAAATAAACATTTTTCACTCTTATTCGGTTACCTTTTCGAAAGCACAGCTTGAATACTAGATTGTTAAAAATTACAGTAAAAAATTGCTGTATCGGGTTCTTTTCATTTTCATTTCTTACACGATTAAACGTTATATTATCAGGTAATTCAAGATTCGTGGTTTCTTTTAACCTGTAGCAACGTGAATTAAACAAGAGAAGAACCTCGACCCTCGAAGCTATAGGACGGATTAAAAAGTTTGAAAAACTTTCCGCCTCGGCAGAGATGTGTGCAGCAGCCTCTTTAACCGCATCCAATTTGTCACGGAAGAATTCTTCTTCCTTGTGAAACTTTATTTATTTTTTTATTTTTATGGAGGATAGTCTACCATCGTTTTATTAACGAATACTTCAATCCATGCTACTCGAACCTTAATTAATTAGGATTATTAATGTCAATTTAATTCTCGAATCCAGATATTCATCGACTATCTTTCAAGATAAATAAGATATTTTTAACAAATTTGAATGCATAGATATTCCTCCGACCGAACCAAGGTTCTGGCAATCGCCACTTTTATTGCCAGCCCTCGAGTTCAGTCGCACACGATATATAGCCCTTCAAAATATAAAGGCCCGCGGAAAAGCTTTTCCCAAAACATGACAGTCCGCCCCAGATTAATTATACTTTGAAAATTACCGATTTATTTGATCGAAGCTTTTAAATTTCATTCCATTAGCAGATCACATAGAATCCACGATACGTGTAACCATCAAAGTGTTAAATATTACAACTTGCAAAAGGTATGTTAGTTAAATTGTACACGTATAGTTGATTCGATCGACCCGATCGTTCGACGATTCGCTCGGTCGCGATCAAATACTGAATTTTTCCCCATTTCCATCACTCGACGAATTTGTTTAACGGCTTTCCGAATTTAACGCCCGTCGAATTGTCAACGTGCACCCGTTCGATTCATTAAAACACGGTCACACGTGTTGGCGGTGAATTTTTTTCGCGGTTCGCAGCCATCGAAAAATTGGGAAGCGATGTTTCTCCCAACATCCGTTTTTTGCAAATTTTATACCGTTGTTACAGATTAAAAAACTGCAATGGTTCGTGTTTAGTCGCGTACCGGGAAACGCAGATAACCGAGCAATCAATCGTTTGATAAACAAATAAATAAATTTTGCTGGCCACCGATGATAACGTGCGCATAGAGCTTCTATTAACGATCATTTCTACGAACGAATTTGCTCTTGCCTGAAAATAAATTGATTAATAAATAAAATTACATCTTTAATCCGCCCGCAATCAAATCAGACTTACACAGGGAAAATAATACGTTCGAATAAAACACGGTTGGTTTTACAAATGAAGTAATTAAAGCATCGCAATGAACAGATTTTTTCGGATCGCTCCATAAAGGATTTGCAGAGGGTTCGCGATTAATTTCGAGTAACTCGATTCGAATTAACTAAAATTGGTTTAAATATTCAAATAAAAATATTTCATTTATAATTTAAATTGAAACATGTTTGATTGAAATTCGGCTACATCTGCCTGTATTTTATTCTTCTATAATTGCATTCTATTGTTCGAATGGACATTGATAGGGCTGGAATCGATGAAAAGCACCCATTTGCCAGGTAAAATCAATACGAACCCAGGGAAATATATTAGCAATCTCAGGTTGGTTAGCTGTTTCACGGATACGTGTATGCAACGCCAGCCTAAATAGCGTAATTTACGGTTATTTATAGGGGACCTTAATATCCCCTTGGTAAAACCTTAGAGCTTGGTTTCGTTCGATCCGGCCAGATTTATCGTTCCAAGTTGAAGTGTCACCCAGAAGAGACAATATCAAGATCCGTCGTGTTCCTGATGGATGGAAGATCACACGATTGACACGTCGATGGAAAAATTACGGTGTATAAGTCAAGAGCCGATCATGCGGTGGGAAATGACTTTTAACCTTCCCCCGAACGGATATTTGAACACATGGAAATTTTTGATACGGGTCAAAATCGACTCCGTTACCGCCTCGGATGAACCGTGACGATGAACTCTTAAAAGAATACCGCCGACACTGGCACCCTCGAGTTTTCGTTCAAAGGATGCTACTCCGCTATTATATATAAATATTCCGGTTGAACCTGTCGGCGGATATTGAAATATCGAAGCCAGCTAGGAAAACTGGAGCAAGAATATTTTTAAACCCTCGGCACGATGACGGAAGTATTCCTTTCACGAGCAGGCGATGGCTAGCAAAGGTCTCCAGAAACTTAATGCAGCATGCAAAATGTAAATTTCAGCGATGCAAGAAAATATCGATACTGTTATTCGTTGGAGAGTTTCGAATTCATTTCCTTCCCTATCTTTTCTCATTTCTATACAACTAGAAGTGTAATAAAATTTCCTAATCGCAACAACCTCACAGAATCACTATGCACGAGAGATAAATACATATACTCGTTATGCGTGTATGGTGTAGCGAACATAAAGCTCATTAAACTATCAAACTGTTAATTGTACGTACACGATGGTACTACTAATTAGCGGAGTCGTAATTAGAGAGCCATGGCTGTTGGGACAGTTATATCTGGATGCAACCCGTTCTTTAACGTCTGCGTAAAATTTGCACAAAACGGATGTACGATGCATCATAAAAGATATTCGTTCATTTTGAATCCTTTTCATGCAACCGATGCATTTGTGTTCCACGAATGCGACTATAAATTTATTACTATTCCTCTCGGCTGTAAGGAACATAAATGTATCTAGTTTGAATACTTCTTTTTGGTTCGCTGAAGTTACTCTGTGCGAGACTAATTTGCAGCAAAATAACCTGAATAAATTAATTAGATAATCGCTCGAGTGAATCGCTTCTTTGCTTAATTCTTTGAAACATGCGATTTTAAAGAAAAAGAAAAATCCTATTTGCACAGAATTTTGTTTTTCAACCGAATGAAAAAGTTTAAATAAAATATTAAACTGTATGACTATGAGTAATTTCAACTTTTCGAGGTGGGTTAAAATATACCCCGACGTGCATAAAAAGCTAAGCAAAAAGTGGGACAGTTTTTAACCCACCTAACCGTAAAGGGTTAACCGGATATTCAGTGTCAGAGCTTAATATTTTAAGGAGAAATATAATTTAATAAAAAATTACAAAAATTATTTCAATAATCGAAAGATAAATTCGTGGCTATATTAATGAAAATTTTCAGAATTTTCGGAGAATTTTCCGCGATGAATGAGACGAACGAAACACCGGAAGTCGTTGTACACGGTCTTCAACGAGTTTCAACAAATCGCTTGGATGGTAAAACAAGCAGCCGGTACATCGTCGTAAAGCATCTGAATATTTCAGTTTTCATTAACACGGGTTTTCTTCGACGGAAACATCAGGTGTACACGCAAATATATCACGAATACTAATCATTTTATTATGCCAGTGAAATCATGCTCCATGCCAACCGACCGTTGCGTTACGATTACGCGACCGATGCCAAGGAGCAGTGTTTTCCTGATGCAAGTCCCAAGGAACATCGGACTTCCCATATATCATTTGTCCGTTTTGTTACAACAGAGAAAATTATGCGACGACGTGGAAACTTGCATAGAACAATAGAAACAATAATAGTTTTAATTATCGTCGAACGATTTCGACCTATTAAACTTTCGCTCTAAATTCGACGGTGCATTTTGTGCAAGCTAGTTTTACCTTGAAATTAGGTCAAAAGTGAGATTAACCCTTTCAAGGGTCAGCTCCATTTTGCCCGTTTGTGTAAACTTTGATAATTATTCCGTGATATAATATTTTTCTAATGCAAAAATGACGAATCGATAGATCGCCTAAAAGTAGCGACAGATCAGCACAAATCCGTCGGTAACGTTTCGACTAAATATTATTCCTTCTAAAACGCCAGATTTACTCTGTAAATATTGTCAGAAAACACAAGTGTGCATCGGTTAAAGGTTAAAGGTGATTCGCTTTTAAGTAATCGGTGTCAACTGACACTGGAAAATGTAATGTCACCGATCAAGCCGGGATCGATAGAGGTCATTAATATTCTCAGCTCGTTCGCGTTTAAATCGGAGCTCTGTAGGCGTTTAGTGGAAAGGCGTGAGTCTCCCCGGACGCCCTTAACTCGGATTGGCGACCGCCAGGTGGCGGCGGGATTGGATCTGTTCTCGCTGGCGGTCCGTCGGCATGCGATTCGGATATATGTATAGCAGTTCCGAAAAGCGGGGTTATAATAAAGAAACGCCTTTTGTCGCTAGCTTAATTTTTATTTCATCCCGAGTTTTCTTTATATTTCTAGCGAGATTTTTGAAAATATTTCAATCAAAACCAGAAATTATTAGCGAACCTGTTACATTAGATTCATATTCAAGTTTCGCTTATTCGATCGAATTTAACAGTCACAGTGTGCAATAGAAGTCAAACAGAAGAGCTTAGTAAACAAAAGTGAGCGATAACACGACCAGTATTGACCGCCAGCGAAAACTCGAGAGTCCGAGAACTCGGTAATGTACAATTTAATTGAAAGCCGTGGGTGTTTATGTTTCGAAGATAATTTCGTATGTATTCCATCCATTATACTCCTTTGATTACACTATTTAATGGTTTACAATAAAAGAATAAGAGAAATTTGAGCGACAAAAAAAAGAAATACACGAAAGAAGGTGGTATTTCCCAACGATCTCTCGTTATGAGGTCGAATATACTACTGCCAGAATGTTTCATTGTAGCTCGGGCATTGTGCCCGGCTAGAGAAATCGACTTTTCACGTTTCTGGCTCGCTCTGGAGTCTCCTGACAATTTCGTAATTCATGTCTGATATCCGATACAGACTCCTCAAAAGCATTTCTCTTATACGACCAACTGTTTTCTATCAATTTCTGTCCCCAAATCATTCTTACTTAACCCTTTCGCTACTAACGGTGACGCTCGGTATGCACTGACGGTGACTTTAGTCACTCGTTAAATTTAACATTCATTTTTAACTTTGGTAGAGCAGAATATTATTACATTGTTATCTCTATGGTTGCCGATTTCTTGTATTTAATTTCTATTTTATTTTATATTACGAGTTTATTATTTTGGTATTTTTATTTTTTATGTGTGCTATGTTAACGCTTTGACATATATTTAACCCTTTCGTTAAATGATAAAATTCACTTAACACTTAAGATGGATATCTATAAGTTCTATAGACTTTCGCAGAATTAATTGTACTAAAATGGTTGATAAAGCCATTAAACAAATAAATAGATGACGAGATAACGAGTTCATCTCGTTACGTGGTTTAATATTTTTAAAAGCATGGAAGAAGTAAAGTGAACGTATTGTGCATCAAGGATGCTCGTAACTTCCCCATCGCAGCCGACCTCAATATCGTAATATTCTTTTCGGTAATACCCACTCGCGTGAATTTCTCTTTCCATCAATTTGTCCTACAAGTCAAGAAGTAACAGCCTAATCGATAACTCGAGCCAGAAGGGAAATCGATGTTCCACGTTGAGGCTACCATCTGGAAAAGAATCCTCGAGGATGATAATAGAGAGAATTCCGATCGATCGATCTTTTTCAAGATCGTCCGAAGTGGTCCTTATTTCATCCGAGAATCCGATTCATCAACAACTTCAACCGTGAATGAGTATTATATTTCCGTTCATTTTACAATTCACTTTATTGCGTTTCCATGTAAAACAAACGATCGCATAAATTTATGTTTGTAATAAATATTTGTATTATTTTGACACCTGTGCTGTAATAATTTCTCGACACCCTTTCGTGTAATCTATCGTGCTGCAATTACATTAAATTTAAACAAAAGTTGAATGCAATTTGAGTTATCGATTATTTGTCGTATAAAAGAAAGGATTCTTTTTAATGCATATATTAAATGCATCAAAAACAATCGTTGTTAGAAAATTTTGTATATTTTCAACTTTTATTAAATTCATTGAAATGCATCAAATAAATACATTCTCAGCCAAGTTAATTGATTCCCGGTTTCATTAACGCGTCAGCATTTTAATTAGTTAATTTAATCGATCGGAAGAATGGAAACGAGAATACGTTATTGTGACATTCATCCGATGGAAGAATAACTACATATTCTTTCATCAATTTTATCATAATTTCATTTCCATTTGTTTCGATCTGTATCCATTAGAGTTGACAAATTTCGAATCATTCAATCGATATTAAAAATTATTGATATACAGTCTTAAGATACTTAATGTAATCTAAATTACATAAATCATCAAAGAACAATGGTACTTGATAGAAAAAGAAATTCGTACGAATTAAATAAAAATACATTTTAAACGTATGCAAAAATTGAAGGTTCTTGTCTGTTTGAAAAAGAATTTTACAGGATGCAGGATTTCACGAGAGTACAGGATAACGACGTGTCAGCCGCAGACAAGAAGCTCCAAACGACTGCGACAGTTTAAACGATAAAAAAAAAAAAAAAAAAAAAAAAAAAGAAGCCGCGGAGAATCGTTGGAACAGCGATAAAACTGTTCTCGCTCCATTTCAAGATTTCCCTCGAAAGTTAAAATCCATCGTATCCCCTCGAGCGTGGCGTGGAATCGACGAGAAAAAGTTACACGAAGCCTTTCTCCTTGCTACGATTATCCGTCTGGTATTTAGAATACGTGCAATTCAAGCTTTCTATGTTTCTCAACTACTTTTCAGACAATTTCAAACACTTTGCTCGCTGAAAGTTTGTCGATTTACTACTTTTCGACGCTCGTGATTAAATAATAATAATAATAATAATTCAAATTTTCTCGCGTAAACGTTTATACACAAGTGGTGGGAGGTGACAAACCTATATACAGGGTGATTCTCTCGCTAGTGTATTCCCAACCCCTTTTCTGGGTGCATACAGCTGCATTATGCACCCCCGTCGAGGTATCGATGACAGAAAAGGGTTTGGGCTCATCGGGCCTTCATTTCCTTTGAGTACACGAGAGAGAGAATCACCCTGTATATGGGTCCCCTTTCTCCACACTGTCACTTCCCCTAGGGAAGCCTAGGGGAAAAAGTGGAAACCCGAAAATGGAAAAGTGGAATATCATCACCATTTCCCCAGGGAAACTGGGGATGATTTAGAATTTAGAAACTGAAATAAATGAATTCACAAATTCAATTCATCATTTCATTTTAAAACAAAGTTTAAGAAGCTGGTTCAATTATTTCAGGAGCTTACTCGAGACTCCATAATGCAACAATGAATAATGATAGGGTGAAGAATTCTTCTGTATCTCGAGCATAACGCGTAATAATATAATATCGTGTCATACGTTTCAAATGGGTTAAGGTTGATTTATATTAGCGACGATGCGGTCTAGCCAAGTATCGCTCAAAATTCCACGCTCGAAAGCAACAGGATTTTCACGCTGATCTCGCGTTCCAAAGAATCAAGGTGAACGTTAAATAAATTTACCGAAAGCGCGTCGTAATTCTTCCGGAAATTATTTATTTGTTTCTTGAGAAGAAAAAAAATATCGCGCTTAGTTTATTTTAGACAGTACCGAATGTTACAAATTACGAAGTGATTATTCCTGTTATTATTCTTGCACAGAATATGAATGCTTTCTGATCGAACGCGATCGTAGCGAAAGGGTTAAGGATGATTAATCGGCACGCGAGAGAATTTTGATCGAGTTTATCAAAGTCGCATCGCTCAGTCTCCCCCGAGATGTAAGCTCGATGGTATTACCGCGACGAAGATGATTAAATCATAATCGGATGTCGAATAATCCGTTTATCAGAAAATTCGAGAGTAAAAGAGGAAAAGTTGCGTTCCCTTATTCAACCCTTATATGCTTCCCTTTGTAATTCGGTTTTGATTCCTCGTATAAAATCGCAGTGAATATAATTTTTCTTTGAATTACGAGGAATATCTGGGCATAAAACTCTTTATACTTTTATATTTGAAAGAAGGATTCGTACGAGATGAAATTCAACCTCGATCGTTTCGTCCAAAAATATATTTCCACTAAGAATTCTTCGCGGTTATCTTAATTATTCCATTACGTTACTGAGCCCACGGTAATCAGCGAATCAAGTAATTATTCAACGCCTCGGACTCGCGTCCTTTGTCGCTAATTTTTGAAGACGCCGTTCAAAAACCTTTTGTCCCGTCTTAACGTTCGAAACTGTAGCCGACTACTACCGTGAAAAGAATAAACCCTGCTTGCTTCTTAAACGACACCGCGAGCTACCATTTCACGAAACTTCCTCGAAGAACAATGTCCACGTAACGTCCATTCGCTTCTCGTTCAATGAACAAAGAAACAGGGAGAAAGAAAGAAAACGACACGGTGTTCGTACTCTCTTAATGACTAGCCATGCATGATAGCGTTTGGACAAAGTATTAGAGATTCAATTTTTATAAATAATACTATGAACAAAATACAGTGGGTATTTGTATGTTTTATATTTCGTGCAATGATTTGTCATCAAGTAGATCACAGTTTAAACGACTATTTGCAGCAAGATAATGATTCTAAATCGTATGACCTACATTGTAAAATAACAGTTACTATGCTGAATGTCCTATATTTTATTTTTTTAAATAAAATTTGAAAAGGAAGAATTCCTTGATTTCATCTCTCTGTTAGTACAAATAATCAGCATTTTACGGTACTTATGTAACTCGCAGTAAGTTAAGGTTAAAGATAGATGATTATCAAGACTCACCTCGTATGCTCTGAACAGGAGATACAGCTCCCTCGGCTTGGCGTCCATCGGCAAGCCGCTCACGAACAAGGTGCGTACCTGTAACAAGAGAAAGAAAGCGATAATTCAGTTAATTAAGCTAATTGTCGAGGCTGGAGAAGGAAAGAAAGAAAGAAGTATTCGAGTTGAACGGAAAGGACGGATAGAGATAACCGGGAATTAGTCTACTCTGTTTGACTGGTGCCCTCGAAGGGACCAAGCGATAGCTGATTGTCGAATTAATGAGAGACGGTAATGCTACGATGAACTCCCTTTTCTCTCTCCTCTCTCTCTACCTTTTCTTCTTAATATAACCATCGATTTTCTCCCCGTCTTTTTACTCTCCTCGTCGAAATTCCGCATCGAGATCGGAATATTATAAAATTTAAATTCTAACGATTCAACTCAATCTTAGATCCTATTCGATATATATTGTATTAATAATAAAAATCAATCGTTATCTAACAAAAGAAATTTTATTTAGGCGCAAACAGTCCCAGGCAAAGTCTATCTATATTGCAAATGATAATATTCGTTATTACTGCTATTCTTGACCCAGTTTCCCTTCAAAGGCGTCCACGGAAATAAGCAAAACAGTGATAGTAAATTACACAGTGATTTGGCAGGAAGCCAGTAAAGACGTACTGTCCCGTGCCATGCTTTCGACAGACTTTCCTCAGCGAAAACCGAATTGCCGTTCGAGTCCAAGTCACACGACCGGTGCTTGCAATTTCATAGAAACAATGTCATTCTTGATGCAGATATATATATATATATATACCGATACAATAGATATGCGCATAGTCCCGTGAGAACCACGGGCAACGCATCGATCTACATCTTCTCACGTATTGTCTGCCCGCAAGAGACGGGCAGAGTCACGATTTCCCAAAGGAATAAAGCTTCCGAAACAATACTGCGAACAGGTGGATACGGGAAACGAGAACAATGCAGTATGCAGCTTTCACTGGTTGCATTTATTTTTTTCTAAGATCTTGGTACAGGGTAATTTTAAAGAATTTACGACTCAACTCTATCCACATGAAAGATCGTTGAACTACACGACCCATTTTATTTTATATAAATAACATTTATAGTAATTTTGCTTTTATTTTTGATACTTTGCCTCTGGATTCTTTCTCTCTTTTTTTTTTCTTTTTTCTTAACAAAATGGATGGTAGATGAGTTCGATATCCTTAAGGCTTGCAATATATAATAAAAAGAAAATGAAAGAGGGAAAGGAGAAAGTACGGAAAGCATCGAAAAGGGAACGTTTCTACCGTCAGATATGGCAACGGAATCGTAAAATTGCAAAAAGGAAGGTAAAGGTTCGCGTTCTTAGCCGCGCGTCGCGACGCCATGCTCACTTCGGCATGTGCCGGAAGAAGGAGGCTCAACTCTTCCTGCTCGTATAACGCAATGACGTTGATATTCACGAGTGCCTATTCAATTTAACCTTGCACCTGTAAGCACCTGATGCTTCGCTAAGGCTTTCCGGATGAGTGAAATCAAGCACGTTGCCGCGAGAGACGAGGAAATTTGGCGCGAACGTTTCAGCAACGATTCGAGCTAAATTAATTTCTCTACCAGCACCATTTCTTCCATTGTACTAGATTCTATTATATCAATTTGGAATTTAAGCTATGTCAATTTGGAACTTAAGCTTCTATACAAATCACTGTTCCATATTATATTAAGGAAAATCAGAGAAAGGATTTTGAGAACCATGGCTTATGAATATCAGCTAAACATTTCAAGAGAAGACAGAAAAAAAGACATTCACATTTTTATTCACATCGCGTGTTCTCTGTTATAATCCTTTCTCATATTAAATACTGGTTCCAGTGGCGGGAAACGACGGTTCGTCGACCGAGCAGCACTTCCGGCTTGACTGGCTTTTGTGAAACATTAAAAAACTTCGCTGGTCCTGGTGAAATGATGAAAAAAAAAAAAGCGTAACCAACACTTTTGTCATCGGGACACCGTGACTAAAGGTGCGTTCACACCTGTTTCATCAATTTCACCATTTGCCACGAAATGATTTAATTAATCATTATATGTAATTGTAAGAATAGCAAAATTTAAGTTGATTATAAATATCCTGGTTTTATATAATTTTTTTATCATATCTTTTATTCTCATCTAGGTAAACTTGATTAGCATATTGTAGAAATATTTTGATTAAAAAGTGTGGTAAACACAAACGTAGTAGATAATATAGTAAGTTATTTGAAACTGTTTTGAAATAGAAAAAGGAATAAACAGAGAAAGTTGCTTAATATCTGCACATTATTTTCACACATTACTCGCTTTCCCACATTACCCACCTACAGTAACATCACGTAAAGCTATTGATAATAAAAATACTAGATGTACGTAATCATAGTGAGAAACTACTTTCTCCCAGATGCAAGACAACGATAATTCATTTGAAAAATTTGAAAAGAGAAAAGACGCTTATGTAATTTTTGGTTGTGTAATTAGATCTAATTATCACTTTGCTGTAGCACTGGATTAAGTGAAATTCTTCGCGCATCAAATTAATTACCACACTTTTTAATGAAAATATTTCTAGAATCTTGAATAATCAAGATTACCCAGATGGAAATAAAAAATATGATAGAAAAATTACATAAAACCATGATATAATCTAGTGCATCATGCCGATGTTTTCCTATCGTGATGGTTCGCTGGAACGTGACTAAATCGGTCTGATAATTATGAATCAAGCTTAATGGACTCGGACCAAGGGAGCGAGTTTCGTCGTGGAGGATAAACGAGCGCCTTACGTGAACCTGCCTTAAGTAATTGCACTGTACTAGCTCACCTGTACCACGCGTACAAGCTAGCAACACAGGTGGGCTGCTTAACTTGTAATGATCTAGCTGCATCAAATTGCCACAACGAAACGATGGCAATTAATAAAGTTAAGAAACGCCATCGGCTGAAAGTATGGCCCGGTACCGGGCCGAGTAAAGATAATTACGGATACCGACCATCCCTCCTCCCTCCGCGTTTGGAATAATTAATTTTCAGTAAAGCTCGTTACGACTCGTGGTATTCCCTTTTCTTTTTTTTTAAATCTATTTCTACGATATTGTTTTTCTTCGATTTCATGAAAATAGAATTTTCAAAGACGATTTCGATTGAAATTCACCTTTTATGAATAACTGTTTACCGTTTCCAAGAAGCAGACACTCGTGAAACGATCACGATAATGACATTCTTTTAAACGTTATTACTGTTATTCCCGAATGTCCTTCGGGCTGTCCCAAGAAGGAAATGCAATTTGCGCGGAACAATCGATCACGGACGATTGGATCCACCTCGAATGCCCGTGAATGGCCATTTCGTTGATGGCATTATTTCCTCTTCAAATCGAGATACAATTGGTGCGTGTTTCACAGGTATCTTTCTATTTTAGATATCATTTTCATTCAACTATCCGCAATTTTAGTTTCATTTTCACATCGGAGATCGAATTGAACATTTTCCTAATATGTAGAAATTTGAGTTACATTTAATAAAAGAATGGGGTATCTCCCGATCGAGCTGATTTTTTTTATCATAGATAGCCCTTGACCTGGCGATTCCAATGGTGGTCATCGCATCCCTTAACTCCTCCACCCTTGGGGTCAAAAACACTGAAATGGTCCAAAAAGTGATTCTTCGCACCGGTCTCAGCGAGGACATCATTTTCAAAAAAAAAAATCCCTAACCTAATTTAACTTAAAATGATCCTACGAGTAATTCAGACTCAGTAATTGTTAAATTAGTTTTTTTTGGAAATGATGTACTCGCTGAGATCGGTGCAAAAAACCACTTTTTGGACCATTTCAGTTTTTGACCTCGGAGGGGGGGAGTTAAGGGATAGGATGACTACCATTAGAATTACCAGGTCAGGGACTATGGTAAAAAAATCAGCTCAATCGGGGGGTACTCTATTTTCTTAAATCCAACCAAAATTTGCACCCCAGCTTTGTAAATTTAAAAAGTAATTATAAATAAGGGGATATTATTTTAAAAATGGATTATTTTAACAGAAACTAAGACAAAAGAAATTGAACGAACTTGATAGCTACCCTTGCCACAAACTAATTCCAGTTAAAAGCAACGATCGACCGGAACAAACGGCGAGGCGTAGTTTTTGGAGAACAATTCATCACGCACGATCGACTCCACTCCCAGTTCCTGCAACTGACCGTGTCTACGATTCTCATTGTGTTTCGTCTTCGAAACTCCTCTGTTCTAGTTACACATCCGGTGGTGATATTCCCCTACGACTTGACTATATATTCCACTTTACGAATTTTAATTTTCACCAGTTACTCTCGTGAACTGTATTCTAATTGAATTATTTACATACCTCCTGTTTTATTTCATACGCCTCCCGAATCGTGCGCATTCTATTTCGATTTATTCTTCTCGCGTTTCCAATTATCTTTCGTTTCGAACAACGCGCGATTTATCTTATTCTATTTTTCCACTGTTTCAAACTACGCCTGCTTTATTGTATTTCTCTTTTTTACACGTGTTTCGAATTACCCGCGCTTTATTTTCTTTCATACGTGTTTCGAATTACCGGTTGTTTTAATTTGTTGTACCCACGTTTTGTTTTTATTGCTCGTGTAGATCGAATTGCTCGCATTCCATTCTATTTTTCACTCGTTTCGAACTACCAGGAATTTTCGTGAAAATTTCATTGAATTCTGACTTCACGATACGTATTTTTACAGAGAAAAATGTTGCATATGAAATAATTTTCCAAGTTTCGAAATTTTTGTTATAAACACAGGTAATAAAGTATAATTAACAGAAGAGATAGTTTCTTTATGAATAACTGGTAACTTATTATCTCCTCAGAGGAAAATGTTTAGCAAAAAGGATTCTTACACCAAGGGATTTTCAAATTGCATACATCCTTTCATTCGAAAAGGGGAGAAAAGGTAAGGATATAAAAGCGAGTGTAAAACATCGCAGGAACGTCCAGAATTTAAGAGAATTAAAATGTAAAAGGGTTACTTTTTGATGCGTTTCTTTTCCAAAAAGCTCTGCTCTCG